TGGGCGCACAGCTGTTGGCCAAAACACGCACATGCAGTGCACAAGCAACGGTTACAAATTGTGCTGGGCACATGTCAGTGCAATTGAGAAGTTACAACTATTTTATCCAGGTGTGGCTGATTATTTGGGTAAATGTATGTATATTTTGTAACATGTCTTTTTGATTGACTCATATTTGCCCATTAATTGGGACTTGTCAACTGCTTGTTTAGATGCTGCAAAGTGTAATTGGGCAGGCTGCACTATAAAAATGTGCATAGGGCTTGTTCCAAAGGAAAAACTTAGTCTTGTGGCTCTTTGTTTATGTAAAAATCATTTAAGAGTTACTCCTAAGGGTAAAAAATCATTTTGGGGCAGGGAACTAGGTGTTCTTTGTTCTTGGCCATAGAGTTGGCTTTATTGTATTCTTGTATTCACATATTAATACGTAATGGGAAGAAATTCCTGTAAATTCTTGTGTGCCTTTTACTTACTTTGCTGCCTAAATTATTCTATGTCCTAAACGTCCTTAAAATAATTCTAAGTGTTGGAAGGCTGAAGTCAAGTGTTGGGCTTGACTGCCGCACAGTGGTAAACCTCGGGCAGATTTCGCACTGACATAAATCACCCATGTGACAACTGGTATCAGAGCGTGGCTGATTTGGGGTGAAGACACGACGTTCAGTGGTTGAATTTCGTGAAAAATGGCTGGTGGCAATGCAGAATTGGGGGGAAAAGTTGTTGCATTGGAGGCACGGAACTGTTGATGGTGAACAATTTCTGATTATTGTGACTCATCTCGTGTATCTTGAGGCCGAGATGAACATGCTAAGCCAAGAGTGCACAAATCTGAAAATGAAAAATATGTTGTTGTGTCGGGCTGTGGGCAATGATGATGCACAGTGTGGTGCAGATCGTACCAAGGTCAAAGTACCTGAGCCTAAAATGTTTAATGGTGCAAGGAGTGCCAAGAAACGCGAAAATTTCCTATGGGATATGGAGCAGTATTTTTAGGCTGCCCAAGTGCGAGATGAAGACAAAGTCACCATTATAACTACATATTTGGTGGACGATGCTAAGCTTTGGTGGAGGATACACGTGGTAGATGATGTAAGTGCTGGTAGGTCTAAATTGACTCTTGGGAAGGGCTGAAGAAAGAGTTGAAAGATCAATTCTTTCCTAGCAATACGGGTTGGATTGCTAGAGATCGTTTGAAAACGTTAAAACAAACTAGAACGGTCAGGGATTATGCCAAAGATTTCAGTTCTTTGATGTTGGATCTAAGCAATATGTCTGAGTAAGACAAGCTGCACAATTTCTTGTATGAGTTGCAATCGTGGGCGCAGATGGAACTCCGAAGGCAGAATGTGAAAGACCTTCCTAGTGCCATCGTTGTTGCGGATGCTTTGGGTGATTTCCGGTTAGGACAAAAAAGTTCTGATTTCTCTACTACTTCAAAGTCCAAAAATGGGAACAAGGCAAAAGAGTGTAGGAAAAAGAGAAATGCTGTTGAGAGCAATATCAATGGGAACGAATAAAAATGCACTGCACCTTCGTCAAACTAGGGACAAAACAGCAAGTTTGATGATTGTTTTATTTGCAAGGGACCACACATGGCGAGGGACTGCCCAAAACGTGAGCAGCTTAATACTTTGTTTGCTGATGAAAAGGGAAAAGTTGAATCAAGCGAGGAAGAGCAGGAAACTACATATCTGGGGCCTATGGTGGTGCTGAAAAATACTGAAGATACTTCGTCGAGGACGACGAACACTTCAGGTGGGGGTGGTTTGTTAGCCCCTTGACAAGGTCCCTCGGCAGATGTGGGTTGTGACAAGGTTTTTCATGATGGACTTGGCTCATAACCTAAAATATTGGGGCAACATCATGACAGGAAGCTCGCTATGACAGACTATGCAGGGTTGACAAATACACCTTGACGGAGGCAAGGCGCATTTCACATGGACGTGTGGGTTGGCATGACAATGGCAAGGAAAAACCAAGGCAGGGGCCAGGGAGTGTCAAGATAAGCTATGACATTATTATGGGCAGATTTGATCAAGTTAGGGGTGACTTGACATGAGCGAGCAGCTGTGGCAACGGGAGTGTGCGGCTAAGTCATGGGCGACAAGATGTGACCATGACATTTGGGCAAAGCAGTGTCAAAGGGCAAGGCTGGGCGCAATACCAGCCTTGGGCGCACAACTGTTGGCCAAAACACGCACATGCAGTGCACAAGCAACAGTTACAAAGTGTGCTGGGCACATGGCTGTGCAATTGAGCAGTTACAACTACCTTATCCAGGTGTGGCTGATTATTTGGGTAAATGCATGTATATTTTGTAACATGTCTTTTTGATTGGCTCATATTTTCGCATCAATTGGGGCTTGGCAACTATTTGTTTAGATGCATCCAAGTGTAATTGGGCAGGCTGTACTATAAAAACGTGCATAGGGCTTGTTCCAAGGGCAAAACTTAGTCTTATGGCTCTTTGTTTATGCCAAAAATGTTTACGTGTTACTCCTAAGGGTAGGAAATCGTTTTGGGGCATGGAACTAGATGTTCTTTGTTCTTGGCCATAGAGTTGGCTTTGTTGTATTCTTGTATTCATATATTAGTACGAGTTGGGAAGAAATTCGTGTAAATTAGTGTATGTCTTTTACTTACATTGCTGCCTAAATTATTGTAAGTCGAAATTTAGCTACTTTTTCATGTAAAGATAAAATCTGAACAATAACACACTTAAAAATTCGAAAAAATTCTACCATAATATGCAAAAATTTGAATTTTTTACACATGAGATACCAACATAATATGCTGGAATTTTATAATGTACTGGAGTTCCAACATAAGATGCTGGAAGTTTATACGCAGAAGTTCCATAATCCATCATATTATGCTGAAACTTTTTGTGTTTCAGCAAAATAATAGCTATTTTTAATGACTTTGCAAATGTTTGCTAATTTTCAATCACCAACTCGAGAACCGGCTAGGTCGTGCTATTTTTACTTTTAAAAGGGCCTTAAGAATCCTATCCTAGGCCAATCATAAGTGGGATGCAACATGCAGGCAAAGAACGAGGCATTTTCATCGATACTCACTTTTGGGACCACCATTAAAGTTATACCCGCATTGCATAAAATTTTATAAAGTGTACCCGCTCAGATCTGAAGTAGTTCAATCTCTTCAATTCAACTTCAGAAATCAAATTTGAAATTCTTCTATCTTTCAAATGCAACTTCAGAAATTCAAATCTGAAGTAGTTCAATATCTTCAATGCAACTTCAGAAATCAAATCTGAAGTTCTTCTATCTTTCAAATGCAACCTCAGAAATTCGAATCTTAAGTAGTTCAAACTATTGACTACAACTTCAGATTTTGAATCTTAAGTTGTAAAACATAAATTTGTTTTTCTTATTTCAACAATGCAATGCACGATTCAATGCCCAAATCTACTCCAAATGAGCTCAAATTTGAAATATAACTTTTAAATATCATTAAGAACATATCTCAATCATCAAATTGTCAAAACAATAACAAATTTAACAAACTCATTTTACAACTAAGAAGAAGAAACTCTAACCATAAAGAAGAAGAAAACAACGGTAAAGAAGAAGAGAAAAGTGTATGTATCTGAAATTATTCAGAAATTAGGTATTAGTTAAATTTTTTTTATAAAGTGGATACAAATTCAATCGTAGTGCAAAATTGGGTGTCACATGAAAATTTAATGTTAAAAACTGCTAATCCCGCTAAACTGAATTAAAAACATTCAAGAAAAAGAAAAATTATAAGAATTCGTAAATCAAAGTTTATAAGTCAGTGAAAAATTAGTACAAAATTAAAAATTGATCTATTTGCAACGTTGGAACAATTACTTTTTATTTGAAATGGCAACAAACACACACAAGTTTGGGTGTTGGATGACAACTTATTAATTTTCTTTGACTGCAACTTTCACTCATTGAAAACGTATTCTATTGTCAACGTCTTTAGGCATATCGTAAACTATTGAATAATTTGGCTACTGATTTCTCTCTTTGTTCATTTTATAAGCCAACTGTTTTTGTCCAGCACATGGGAGATGACTGACAAAACATGTAGTCAGTACCTACTTTTGGACTTTGCGAAAGAAAAAGACTGCCTTTTTGGCAATATCAATGAGGGGTATCAAATAAACTAAAAAAAGAGAGGAAAAAGAAAAACAAACAGGTCATTTAATTAAGCAACATATCTCAAGCACAAAGTTCAATTATTTAAGGCTACTTAAATATTCTTTAGATATACTACTCCTACAACAATAATTATTAGATAAATAATTGAACACAATGATCTATTCGTAACTTAGAAGTGGAATTTGTTTAAATTAGTCTTTGCTTAGATAGCTTACAGAGTTTGTTGGTCACATGCAAATGATTAGAAACAGTTTCGGAAGTTATGCATTTGACATTTGAACAGTTTTTCACATTCATAAACGTGATTTTCCACCTCGCCCTCAGTCTCACATGTGATATGATTCCTTCACCATTTGTACAACTTTTTCTCTCTCATAGTAATATGCACTTAATTGTAAATGTTACATTATTAAAAAATCTTGTCAGAATTTTGAACTCTAATTATTAAAGCAAGATGTGCATAATCTATGTCATACCATGTGCATTTTATTCAATGGTACAACATGATAAGGAATTACTCTTAACATTATTATTGGTTAAGGTGCATGCTATTGTTATAAGCTACTATTATTATAAGCTTGGCTCGTGCTGCATATAACGCACTAACCGTAGAAGTGCTTTATACCTGAAATTTTTCCATTTTAAAACTTAATCACTCGAAACCTCCCGATTAACAGTAGACGAAATGTTTTATTAATCTCACCACAGTCGTTGATAGTATAAGCTGGGCTTGACTACTTGTGGCTTACCATCTCATCCAGCCAAAATAAATAAGACAACTAAAGAAATTGCACCTGGCATTATTATTATACAACTTGCAAAAGAAAAATATTGCAACTTTCATCACCTATATAAACTACTACTCACTCCCTCAGCCCACCAACAACAAACTCCCAAATATGGCATCTTTGCTACCAAGAAGTCTCGTTGGCAAATATAGTATTTTCCTTCTCCTTTGCATATCTCAAACTTCCTTCTCTTCTCCCCATCAACCTTTAGCAAGGCGCCTTTTGACAACCACCCCAAGAAACATAGTGAAACAATACCTTACTCCACACAACAAAGTAAGAGCAAAGCTTGGACTCTCACCCCTCAAATGGAGCAACAAACTTGCAAATTACGCAAACTGGTGGGGACACCAACGACAGGGGAACTGTGAGTTGGTGCATTCCCAAGGCGACTACGGCGAAAACCTCTTCTGGGGGAGCGGCAAGGATTGGAAGCCGCGCGATGCTGTCACCACGTGGGCGAGGGAAAGACCTTATTATGATTATAAGAGTAATTCTTGCAAGAAAAATGAGCAATGCTTGCATTATACACAGATTGTTTGGAAGCAAAGCACAAGAGTTGGTTGTGCAAAAGTTGTATGCAACACTGGGGATACTTTGATTAGTTGCAATTATGATCCTCATGGTAATGTGGAAGGAGAGAAACCCTTTTAACAAAGCAATTGAATCTCATATGTTCGATGTGTGCATACACTGACCTAGAAACTAATCTTTTAACAATGACGGATCCAAAATTTATATTGTGGGTTTTGAGTTGAGAGAGTATGTTTGAAATGTAAATTTGATTTTATCTGTAAAAACAGATTCTGCCGGACACACAAGCCCATTGTTAAATCTGCCATTGTGTTTTAGGCTAACCCTTTTGGGACCTTCCTTTTTGTTTGCAGAAAGATGAATATAATCTTATGTGTAAACTACTTTTTTTTTTTCTTCAAGAAAATGCATTGTACTGTTAGGACCTTTTTTTTTTCTTCTCGTTTAAAAGGCAACAACTCAAGGAAAGGATTGCTTAATGATTACATTGCTGTACTGTGAACTTCTAGTTCTGTCAAGAACCAAAATTTCAAAATGTGACGACGCCTATCACATTTACTAGGCAAGCCGATAATCACATAACAACTGAGCATTTGATTTAAAAAATAATTTAATAAGCTCAACAACGAAAAAACTCATAAATATATAATAAAACAACTGAAACTCTACTACAACCATCCCAAGAACTGGTGTCATCGAGTACATGAGCACTACGACATCTCAATGTAAAACAAACTCTAGTACAATTGTCTCAATAGTAGAACAGTACTGAATAAAATAAAAGGAATGAGAATCAAGGTATGCAGACGTCATAGCAGCTACCTTGTAGTCTCCAAGCAAGCACTGGGAATGATCTAGCAGTCACTGCGTCCAGATGTACCTGGATCTGCACACGAAGTGTAGAGTGTAGTATGCGTACAATCAACCCAATGTACTCAATAAGTAACATGACTAACCTTGGGCTGAAAGTAGTGACGAACTTAGAAAGATGCAGTCAGAACCAATATAATGACAACACGGATATCATAATGAGAATAACAGTAATAACTCAGAGACAACTTCCATATTTAGCTCGTTCACAATATAGAAATTTAGACATGCTTTCAAATTCACAATTAAAGACCAACACTGATAAGAACATATCAAGTATAGCTAGCATGAGGAATGGTACATCTTTATGCCTAAATGTCAAATATGCATGTCAAAAGTACAGTATCACAATGATATTTTCAGTTACTCACACTCTCAGAGTACTCAATCTGTCTACCTCAAATTTTCACTCATCACACATAATCACCAAGCACTGTACAGGTGTCTGGCATCGAAGCCCCTCACAAAAGCACGTGTATATAAATCACTGTGCCTGCGCTCACTTTTGGTATGTCAGACTCCGGAGGGGCGGATCCTTCCCAAGCATTAATATAAAGCCTATAAGGCTTGCTACGGTGTGCAACCAATCCCACAATAATAAATAAGCCAATAAGGCCTGGTGCGACGTGCATCCCGATCCACAATAACACTATCCACTCGGCTCTCAGTCCCAACTCAGTTATCAATCTCTCAAGTCTCAAGGGCTCACAATCCCATACTACTAAGCTCAACAATAAGAATATGTAATGTAACAGTAAATGATAATGGAGACTGAGATATGATATGCAAATAAAGGATCATGACTGAGCACATAATTGTAGTTAAAGCAGATACTCAAAACAATAGAAATAACTGAGCTAATAATTGTAGTTAAAGCAGATACGCAAAACAATAGAAAAAACCTCACTAGACCTCAACCGAATAAGCACATAGCCTAAGCACATTTTCTAACATGATTTACAGTTCAGTTACTCTAACAGGAAAGGATTTCACGGATAAAACAAGACTTGATAACAACAAAGTCCAAAAGAAACAACCGAATCATGATTACCACGGTGCATGCCCATACACTCGTCACTTAGCATGTGCGTCACCCCAACACAAACCATATAACACATTTCCCAGGGATTCATTCCCTCAGTTCTAAGTTTAGAAGTGTTACTTACCTCAAAACGTGCAAATTACAACTCCAACCAGCCCTTCCCACGCGTATCGTCCTCCAAATGACTCGAATCTAGTCACAAACAACTCAATATCAACAAATAATGCATAGGAAACAACTTCAATCAATAAAGTTTTGATCTTTATCAAAATAAAAAAGTCAACTCTGGGACCACGCCTCGAAACCTAACAAAATTCATAAAATCCGAATATCCATTCAATTACGAGTCCAACCATATTAAAATATCCAATTTCGACTTTAAATCGACCTTCAAACCTCCATTTTTCATTTTTGAAAAGTTTCCACCAAAATCCCCATTTTTTCACTTTAGTTCACTAAAGAAATGACAAAAACAAGGATGGGATTAAGATAAATGAACAAATCCAAGTCAAGAACACTTAACCCGATCCATAACGTGAAAATCCCCTCCAAAATCGCTCAAAACCGAGCCCTACAATTTAAAATGTGAAATAATACTCTAACCCTCGATTTAGTATTTTAAACATTCTGCTGCCTAGTGATTACACATCGCGATCGTGGAAAATCCTTCGTGATCTCGAAGAAAAAACATCACCAGTAACAAAAATCTTCTACGCGAATGCGCTCACAAGGCTGCGAATACGGTGACCAATTACCCAAACCTACACAATCGCGGACAGACTCACGCAATCACGATAAACAACTGACTGAAAATCCTAGGCCTCTCCTTCCTTCTTCGCGAACGCGTCCATACTCCCGCGTTCGCGTTTTACAAAAGCTCAGACCTTCGCGATCGCGTCCATAACCTCGAGAATTCATAGAACAAATGCCCAACTTCCAGAAAAGAATCTTCGCGATCGCACCCCTCTTCTCACGATCACGAAAGAGGAAACTAGAAGCCCAAATTTCAGCAATCCAAACAAGTCCAAAATGAGTTGTACATGATCTGAATCACACCCGAGGCCCCTGGGACCCCATCCAAACATACCAAAAGGTCTTAAAACACGATACAAACTTAGTCAAAGCCTCAAATAACATCAAACAATATCGAAATCATGAATCGCACCCCAATTCAAGCCTAATGAACTATTGAATTTCCAATGTCTAAAACTAATGCCGAAACATACCAAACCAACTCTGATTGACCTCAAAATTTTCACACAAGTCATAAATGACACAACGGACCTATTCCAACTCCCAAAACTAAAATTTGAGCCCGATATCTACAAAGTCAACCCTCGGTCAAACTTTTCAACTTTCCAATATTCGCCAATTCAAGCCAAAACAACCTACAGACCTCCAAATCAATATTCGGACATACTCCTAAGTCAAAAATTACCATAAGAAGCTATATATATATATATATATATACTAGATGAGGGATGCCCGTGCTATGCACATGCTTAAGATATATAACATAGCTACAAAGCCATTTTATTTTCTTTGAATCATTTTCTTACAATACGAACTACTAATCTCTTGACAAAGCCGTGAAAATAGAATGCTACTTGGATTCACTATTTCTCTGGACAAAGCTAGAGAAAAGTTAAGACACATTCTAATTTATGACAAATGTTTTTATTCCTGCATTCCAAAGATACTAATTATATGTTCTTATTTCTCAAAATTGTGTTCCAAAGATGCATAAAATTGCATAACCTTCTTTGAGAAATAGCAGAAATAATAAATTAAACAACAAATTACACTATTAAACTATCATAACAAAATCCCAACAGTAGAACTGATGAGTAACTCCCACAATCTGGTGGAACTGAGTCATAATCTCTACAAGAGTATTCTAATAGTCTAGAAATACAATACTGTTTGAACAGGAAGTTAACCGTAGAATATCTAAAAATAGAGAGTGACTTCGAGGCTTGCGAACGTCGGGCAGGTGTACCTTGAAGTCTCCGGAATGCCTAATCAATCACCGACGTCCAGTACGGGTAGAAGTACCTAAATCTGCACAAAAATATATATAAGTATAGTATGAGTACACTAAAACAGTACCTATTAAGTATCAAGCCTAACCTCGGTAGAGTAGTGATGAGGCTAGGTCAAGACACCTACTAGGATAAGAAAGCCAAACATGCTATAGCATAGTCTAATAATGGAAAGCGTGGAAGTAAATGACAGACAAGCAGTTCGATAATATAAGCTAACAATGGAAATTTAAGAAATAAAGGCAACAAGTAGTAAACACATGATGAAACAACGGATAGTCAAACACAAACAAATACAAGTGAGACAATGAAGAAAACAACAAGAACTGTCAACCAACAAGCCTCTTTTAGCATGGAATGTATAACAAGAATCACATCCGAGGTATCGCCTCATATTCACATTTCACAATTTCAACCACAATCTTTCCTTATATCACCGCGTGAGCCTCTCATTTATTTTTGAAAACATTTTCCCGAAAAATCACTACACACATTTTTGCCCCCTTATCTCACCGCATTGCTTCAAGTAATTCCCTTACTAGCAAAACACGTATCAAGCCCATATTATCTCACCGCATGCATATTAACCCCTATCCATATACCACCATATGCATATCAATATCACAACACAATAACAACTCACACCACAAGTGCCCATATGCCACAACTTGCCAAAATCAATAATACCAATGTTTCCACAACAAATAGCCCATGGCTCAATCACAATGTGTACAATGGTCTCAATAACAACAAGACGACTGAAGGATAATCAAGAAGGAAAGATACCTCAACAATTAACAACTTAACCTCAATGTGATAACGACTTTTACAACATCAACATCAATAACTCAACAAGAAGATATTCCGTAAAATGACAACTTCAAGTAAGGGTAATTCAATAATTAAAGGGGGTAACAAAACAATAAGGGAGATAGCAACTTTAACTAAGGCATATAAGAGCAACTACAACAATAAATGATAGAACAAGTGCTAATAATGTCAATTAGAGCATGTAAGATTAAATTTAACGATGAAAGATGTAATCTGTTATAACAAGTTCAAATAAGTACATGGAAGAAGTCTAAAAGTCTAAACCGATCAATACCACATATAGCATTGTACACACTCGTCACCTATCTACACATCTTCCACATAATACAATTAACACAAACATCCCAAATCCTAATAGGTAGTTCCCTCACACAAAGTTAGGCAAGATACTTACATCAACTAGGCCAAATCAACCCTCAAATATAGTTTCCCCCTAAAATTCACCTCAACAAGGCTCAAATTTAACAAAAAATGACTTATTATTATCAAAAAATGCAAGAGATACCAATTACTATAGATAAATCTTTGATCTTTACACAATTTCCAAAAAAGTCAACTCCGATCCCGCCCCGATCAATACCCAGGTCCAAAGGTAGATTCCGACTACCCATAACCCCACGAGTCCATATATGTATTTTATTTT